ATCAAATGGTTAATGAGCACCCAAATTGTTCTAAACTTGTTTTGTACACCCAGAAGGTACTCAAATCATGGATGGAAAATAATGTTGCCTTTCCGCAAGGAACAATTTTATATTAATTTCCCTCAAAGATGAGCAGTAATTAGTTTGTCAGTCGCAATAAGCGTTACCTAAAATTATTCAGTAAAGTATCCATCTTCTTTGTATAAATCAAATAGATCAAGAATAATAAGTAATTCGGTTGTTCGATACGATAGGTGCTAGAATATATGGTTAAGTAAATCAAAAACTAGCACAGTCAACTAAAAGTGAAACGGAATCGAAGAGACAATCGGAACTCAAAGCTATAACAAAATTATTTCAAATGAACATGTACACGCCATTAACATCAACGATGACTAATTCACCACTTCGTACCGAGAGGTATGGGAAATAATTCAAGACTGGAAAGCATTATAGGTTATGATCTGAAAACTTAGCGTATAAACGAAAGTCCTAAGGGATTTTGTTATTATTCAAATAAATACTTGATGAAAAATAACATGAAGCTTGATATTAAGCCTTTAAGATCAATCTGATAATATTATTGGGAAATTTGTGTGAGGTAATGAAGGTGAAATTGACTTTGCAACAGTATATTGTGAACAGGTAGAAGAGGATAAGTCAGAATATAAGTAAGCGAGTGCGTCTTACAAAAGAATGCGCTCTTGCAATTATTGTTACAAAAATGTGATATCTGTTACCATAACAGATGCTATGGGAGAACAAACAACTGTGGAAACAGCATTACAAAGGTTCAATACAGCCTTCCTTCGAGATACTAACAAACTCCTCCATGAGAGCTAACAGGCGTAAGTAATATTGTTTTCCAATTCTACATTACGGAAGAATATCTACCACCCCCAGCCAGTTGTTTGCATTAGTTTTTAAGGTATTTCTAAAATTCTGTGCTAGGTCATTGAAGCAATGATGGGAACAGAGAACCTGATTTATTATTCTGTAACTTTCAACGTATTTGCAACATGTGATCATTATGAGTCAAAAGGACTGCAAGACCATGTTGGAGGAAGAATAGATTCTTCAGCGCATGAATGATGAAATCACTATTTATGAAACCACGAAACATCGGACCAAATGGAGCAGTAATCAGTGACGTGTACATTGTATCTGTCCGGAAACGGGTTTGATGAAAACTCCACTGAACTCGAGCACAGCAATAGAATCTGACCTTACATTAATTAAATATTAAAGTATCAAGAATGCGATCATAACAAGACCCAGTAACTAATTAAAATGATCCGGGATTTTTAACGTCTTGTTTGAAGTTTTTAACGAAGAGAAGGAAATCTTGGTTTGGATTATCGACATTATAAATGGAAGTTGAAAACTGTTCCAGAACATGCAGGAAAATGGACGAAGAAACGGAGTAAATAGGAAAAGACCAGTATCATCAGATTTTAAACGTGAATACGTTTGTCATGAATCTAATTTCCTATAGATGCTAATTCGAACATGTGACTCACTATTAACCTACTTCAGTGATCCGTGAATACATGCAACTAAGTATTAGATTTGCCTAGGACAGGGTTGGATGAAGAGTGCTGGTGGGCGGCCTAAGCTCCTCCACGAGAAGTAACAGGCGTGTGTAACTAAGTATAAGATATTACTGACTAATAAAAATAGCAATTTTAAAAGTGACAAAAGTAGCCAATTTTCAGTGAGTAACATAACGTTTGCTTAGTATTATAGTTTTTGATGATGGAGAAGTATTTTCCACTATTTAACTCCGCCTGTAGCTCTTCTAGAGTTACTGCCGGCCCCAAGACCAGGTAAAGAAGAACGGTTGGGCATGGGGTTAGCGACCCTATCCCGTAGAAAACTAACTCGCTAAAAAAATGCTAACTAGAAAAATAATTCAAACCATTTAAACTCTGCCCCGGGAGTTAGAAGGTCCTCATTTAGATGAACTACGACGCCTCATGGTGAAAGCCTAGTTCCTTCGGAAGCCACGAGGTCGATGCCTCTTCTAACAACCAGAGCAAACATTTTTATAGGTACATCGAACGTCCGAACAATGTGGGAGACAGGGAAGACCAGTCAAATAGCAACGGAAATGAGGAGATACAACCTGGCAGTACTGGGAATCAGTGAAACCCATTGAACCCAAGCTGGACAACAAAGGCTAAATACGGGAGATGCTACTATACTCCGGTCATGAAGAGGAGAATGCTCCACACACTCAGGGAGTTGCTCTAATGCTGTCCAAAGTAACACGAAATGCACTTTTATGATGGGAATCTCACGGATCCACAACCATCAAAGCATCATTCAAAACAAAGGAGGGGATCAAATGAATATTATCCAATGTTATGCACCCATCAATGATAGCAACGACGACATTAAACATCAATACTACGAGCGGCTGCAGTCAATCATAGAGAAGTGCCCAAGAAACGACCTCACCATTCTGATGGAAGATCTAAATGCCAAAGTCGGAATAGACAACACCGGATATGTAGATATCATGTGAGGACATGGACTGGGAGAGAGAAACGAAAATGGGGAAAGATTTGCAAATCTGTGTGCATTCAACAAATTGGTCATAGGGGGCACAATATTTCCACACAAAGCTACATGAATCTCACCGGATCACACTACAGAGAACCAGACAGATCATATTTGCATCAATGAAAAATTCCGAAGGACAATGGAAGATGTGAGAACCAGGAGAGAAGCTGACATAGCTTCAGATCACCACCACCTAGTTGTGGCCAATTTAAAACTGAAGCTAAGGAAGAACTGGACAAGTGGACAAACAGCATTACAAAGGTTCAATACAGCCTTCCTTCGAGATACTAACAAAATCAACGAATTCAAGATAGCTCTCAACAACAGGTTCCAAGCCTTACAAGATCTACTGAAGGAAGAAGAAACTACTATGGAGGACAACTGGAAGGATATCAAAGAAGCATTAACTTCAACGTGTCAAGAGGTTCTGGGCCTCAACAAACATCATCATAAGGAATGGATCTCTATAGAAACTCTGGACAATATTAAAGAAAGGAAGAAGAAGGCAGCAATTAACAACAGCCGGACACGAGCAGAGAAAGTCCAAGCACAAGCTGAATACACAGAAGCAAACAAGCAAGTGAAGAGGAGCATTAGAGCCGACAAGAAGTACGTGAAAGAACTAGATACGACAGCGGAAAAAGCTACTAGAGAAGGAAATATGAAGCAGCTTTACGATACAACGAAGAAACTAGCAGGGAAATACAGTAAACCAGAGAAACCGGTCAAGGATAAAGAAGGCAGACCAATCACTGAAATTCAACAACAGAGGAACAGATGGGTAGAATACTTCGAGGAACTCCTGAATAGGCCGGCTCCAATGAATCCACCGGACATCGAAGCAGAACACTCAGATCTTCCTATAGATGTCAATCCACCAACGACGGAAGAAATCAGAATGGCCATCAGACGAATCAAGAGCGGGAAAGCAGCAGGACCCGACAACATACCAGCTGAAGCACTGAAATCAGACATCGAAGCAACCACAAGCATGCTTTGTCTTCTATTCAAGAAGATTTGGGAGGAGGAACAAGTGCCGATGAACTGGAAAGAAGCACACGTCATCAAGATTCCAAAGAAAGGAGATCTGAGCAAATGTGAAAACTACAGAGGCATTACACTACTGTCAGTACCAGGGAAAGTCTTTAACGGAGTGTTATTGAACCGGATGAAAGACGCAATAGACGCCCAACTTCGAGATCAACAAGCTGGATTCCGTAAGGACCGGTCATGCACAGACCAAATTGCGACACTATGGGTTATCGTCGAACAATAAATTGAAAGGAAATCGTCTCTGTACATCAACTTCATTGATTATGAAAAGGCATTTGACAGTGCAGATAGAACGTTATGGAAACTTCTTCGACACTATGAAGTTCCTGAGAAGATTGTCAACATTATAAGGAACTCATATGACGGACTACACTACAAAGTCGTGCGTGGAGCGCAGCTGACAGATCCATTCCAACTAAGGACCGGAGTCAGACAAGGCTGTCTACTTTCCCCCTTTCTCATTTTTCTGGTGGTCGACTGGATTATGAAGACCTCCACATCGGAGAGAAAACATGAAATACAATGGACAGCTCAGAAACAAATAGACGGTTTGGACCTCGCAGATGACCTAGCCTTCCTATCTCATACACACGAACAAATCCAGATTAAGACAAATCGTGTAGCAGCAGTCTCTTCATCAGTAGGCCTCAACATACACAAGGGGAAAACCAAGGTCCTCAAATACAACACGGAGAACACCAATCCAATCACTTTTGATGGCGAAACTCTGGAAGATGCAGAATCCTTCACATACCTGGGATGCATCATCGATGAACAAGGAGGACCAGATGGGCAAAACAAGGGCCGCATTCCTACAAGTGAAGAATATATGGAACTCAAAACAACTTTCAACCAATATCAAAGTCAGAATCTTCAATACGAACGTCAAGGCAGTTCTACTGTACGGAGCTGAAACTTGGAGAACTACTACAACCATCATCAAGAATATACAACTATTTAAGCATAGTTTTCTAAGCAAGATACTCAACATCAATTGGTCGGATATCATCAGCAACAGCCGTCTGTGCGAGAGAACAAACTAGCTTCCAGCTGAAGAAGAAATTAGGAAAAGACGATGGAAATGGATAGGATATACATTACGCAAATAATCAAAGTGCATCACGAGGTAAGCCCTAACTTGGAATCCTGAAGGGAAGCGGAAAAGAGGAAGACCAAAGAACACATTACGTCGGGAAATCGAAGCAGATATGAAAAGGATGATTGATGACTGGAAGGAATTGCTTAGGACAGGGTTGGATGGAGGAGTAACAGTTGTAAGTAAGTAAGTTTCTTGTTATTTGGTTGGGATATAAATAAAATATAACAGTTAACATCAAAATAATGATACATAACTACAAAAAAAGAGTAATATCATTCAGGATTCAATGCCATGGATTATTAGGATGCTTTCCAGAAACATTACTTCGAATAATACTACTCAGTAATGATAGACCTACTGGTCCAACGGGATTTGAAGAATTTAACATTGCTAACAGAGTTGGATTCAGTTTATTAGCGTTGGTAAGTCCAGGAAGTAAATGTGAATCAGAAATAGGAGTCCTTGAATTTAAGGAATTCAATGCTGAGGCAAGAGGTAAATTATGAGTTGCTGCTGCAGCAGCTAACGCAACGGCGAAATTATTTGGAGTTGACCATAGAGGAGAATCATGTGAATGATGAATAGAGCTTTGATGAGCAGCTGCAGCAACCTGTAATGCAGCAAGTGCTCGTGGAGAATTAGAAGTTGACAATGCATTATTCGGTGTACGCGTGTTAAGCCTCGTATCTGTGAACGAAACAAAAAGTCATGGAAAAATCTGAAAGAAAACATACTTTAAGAAATATCAAACTAAGATCTTAACATAAAGTTGCCTTCTATAGATTGTAACTTGTCTTCATTATCGCTGTTGCGTGATATTACTACCATTTACTTGACTTGTACTATACACAAAACTGACTTTTCATTACAAACAACTTGGTAAATATGATAATCTTACTGTAATTCAAACTACATTTCAGAAATAAATTCTTTCCTTCATAGCTAATCTTTTGTAGGATGCGAGCAATATTTCTAAGGTATCTGTGGTCAAATACTAGTAGCTTACGAATATCTTCTACTCATAATGGCCGCGTTTCGCAGTCGTAAAGTAGAACAGAAAGAAACGGCCGCGCAGTATACTCGTAGATGTCTCACCTTTGCCATAAGTGACGTAAGTTGGTAAAAGCCAAACGAACTTTTTGAATCTGTGCTGAGATTTCGTCAGACACCAACCCATTTCGGCTGATCAGACTTCCAACATAAGTGAAATTGTCGACGTGTTCGACTACTTCACTCCCTACCCTTAGTTCAGGCCTTGAAACTATTAAACCAGGACTGATATATTATTCTGACAATAAAATACTCCTAAAACAACTCAGATATCACCTTTGTATAACGAACCATTCGTTCATGATTTTTGCTTCGATTTACACACATACACTGATTCACAATGAAGCGTGTAAAAAAGTTACAGAACGTTTAAGTTCATAAGACAATTCATTTATCTTCAAGAGGACCCACCATCCAACGTATAATTTTATATTATTCATGAGAAGGAATGACAACAAAATTAGTGATATGACAATAAATCTATTATATCACATTAATAAATCATCAATTCAGTTTCAATTGCTATATTTTCACTTACTGGGACCAATTCGATTAGTTACACTTTGTAAAACTGATGGTAAGCCCAAAAGTGAAGAATTAGTTAATGACCCAATAGAATTGAGAGGTTTAATTACATTTGTAGCATTAAATCTTCGTAAAGGGTGGCCTAGGAAAAACAAGTGAGAATAATAAATAAGAAGCTAGTGTATTGGAAAGAGCATGAGAATCAAAAAGTAAATGTATGGAGGTGTTAGCAGGACATAGATTGAATTAAAACACGTTCCGTGAACGATTGTGTTGGTGCACGCTGATTGACTAGTTCTTATGCAATCAGCGCTAGTCAATACCTGGAGAAGACTCTAGAATCTTCTCATGTAAAAAATATAACATTTCTCTTATTGTGCTTTTGACTTCCATTTAACCTTATTATTTGGAATGTAATTTCCTTCCTGTTCAACCGTGTTCCGATTTGGTGACTTGCCGAGTGTCCAAGAATACTAAGCAATAGGAATAAGCTGGGTTGTAAATAAGGGAAATCATAGCAGGTGAAGATATGATCACATTGATAAGAAGTAAAACTTCAATCAACCTTTAACATATTCTGCGCATAAAAATCCTTATCTTGACAAAAAGATAAACCGACAGAAGGAGTAATGTATCAGTCAAAACTTTATTTGAAATTTTCATGACTACGCATTATCAATGTAGAGAAATGATCTCCATTGCAAAAGTAAATACAGTTAAGTGAATATCAAAATTAACCAAGGTAAAAAAAAGACTCAATAAGCAGTATTTATGATAGAAATATGAGTAGAAGAGTGTGAATCAGCACAATGAAACAAAATCAAAGAAATGGATTTAACACTACATAAACTATAATTTATTAACTTGTTTACTTTACGCTAGTAGGTACATTTTCTAATGAACAAATAGAATAGTGGTCCTAATTTGACCCATTGAACATGAGGTAATCGTAAGTACATCATGTACATAGCCACCATACATACTCAGAAATGATTATTCGTTTTTAATGTCGAATACCTGGTTAGGATTCCAGTAATAATTGTGATCATTGATTATAGATAGTGTGACATAGATCAGGTATATTCACTCTCTATCTTGTTGTACTTCTTCATTTTCAATGTTTCCCCATACATAACTTCACATTCTATCTTTTCGAACTATATCCTCGATATTGAGTCATTCTCATTACCATCACTGTTACAATTATCTCGACCCCTTTACTATTCACCCTGTTGTGGTAACGTGGTTCAGCAACTTGAGTGAACACATATTTGTGGTAGTCTCTTATTTTGATTATAACTTCCTGGGGTTCAGTTCAACTACATCGTGAGTGTGTCAATTACTAACCGATGGTACTGGATGACCGTTGTGGTATATCACCTAACAACCGAAATTAGAAATTTGAGGCACTAAATTCCAATTCAGTGATTTAAAATTAAAGCATGGAGATGATCCTGAGTTTCATTTATTATTGCTAAGATCTGTAAACTGTCGCAAAACTACTATAGTCTGACCCAAAGTAGCATATCAAAATTGACATAAAAACAGCTTACCACCCCTGTATCCCAATACCTTAACTTTATAGTGATCATGTAACCCACAAATTTAAACTCTCTAGAAAGATTCGCAATAAAACTAGTATACAATATATACTATTCCATAATGTACACTAATTAGGAAGTTTATTCTTCTACTATGCAATTAACCTTTCCTATTGCCAGAAAAACGAAAATAAATCAAATTTGAATTAATAACTCTCATAGTTGAGGATGAAATCACCGAACTTAATATATATAAGCTTGGAAATGTGTAGCGTTTCACCCCAATTTTATGGATACTTACCAGAAATGCCAGGAATGGAAGTGATATTCGATACAACAGAATTACTAACAGAACATGTCGAAGCTATTGAATGAGGTATATGTCCAGTAGGCAAAGCAGGATTAGGACAAACAGGACCAGGTATAACTTCTGAAAGCGAAGAAATTGTGTTGGGAGCCCCTGTTGCAGTATTCGGGTTTGTATGACGTGGTGGTGGAGATTTCGGTCGTAATCGCTCAATTTCTTCAGTTGTTCCCAGCAACAATCCATTAGGGTCTTTATTAAAATTATTAGCATATATACGCGGGTCATAATTCGATGCAGATAGTTCATTACCTACAGTCACCCAACCCTAATATAAGAGAAAACGCATTATGATGAAGGCGGGACTAAACATTCGTAACAACTTCATGTAAAATATTACATTCAATCTTACATAGACACTGTAATCCATTAAAATAATGTAGATGTTCCCCAGTTAATATGTATTTTTCTGCATTCTCTCAGTCTAACAACTCTGACAAATGTTATTTTCTAAATTCGGAAATATCGCTAACCTTGATTGTGTTGTAATTGAACAAAGAGAATCACTTAAAGGTTAATTACATCGACTAATAAAACTTCCTTTTCAATATGGAAATAAAAAAACTGATCACAGGAAACCTTGTAAGATGTTGGTCACTGTGACAACATTTTTATTATACTGTATGGTCAGACACAGTAACAGCCCAGCTGATTTCATATACACTTCTCACAACTGATATTTTATTTACCGTACACTTCTGAATAATCTGGTTCGCATATCTATAGTCTTGCAGGAAATTTCCGATTTTTCATCATTAGGACGAGTATTTTTAACTTTGTCTTCCAAGCAATTAGTTCTGAGGTTGACAAATTGTCATATTAAACGATCATATTAACATACATACTACATCAAGTATGCGACCGGAACGTTTTTAATTAAGAAACACACATCATTTGTTAGTAAGATAAATACCATCAGCATTAACAATGCAACTTCATTCAAGAGAAGAGTGTGAATAAGCAGTCTTTCATAGATCCATTGCAACGGGGGATTATTTGAGTGAGCGAATGCTTAATACTAGTTCGTAATTTGCCTGTTACTCAAGATCTGAAGTTTGTATGGAGAGATAGATTCTCACAAATCCAAGTCGATTTATCACACGATTAGTTTGGAAAATGTGCCTCCACTTTCTAGTACTTCAAGTTTCAAATGTTTGTTTAATCTGATATCAGTTTAGGATGAAGCCTATTAGTAAAAATGATTCATATATGAACAAAGCAAATTATTAAAGTCAGAAAACCTATATTACTATATATATGTATGTATATTTCACTCACGGGTCTTAATGTACTATCTCTACCGAATAAATGTAATCTTCGTCTTCCAAGACAAAAATGTTCAATAATGTGAAAAATTTCGGTTGGTTTATCTTTGGCAGCATAACTGCCTTGTGGAGGAGCTTCTTCAATGATCAGATCAATGTCAATATTAGCATGAATAAAATCTCCATCAGTGGAACGTCTAACAGTTCCGTGTATACCCATTAAGCAATGTTCTTTAGTACGTTGAAAAACACAATTCGGTTCAAGAGCTTCATGTCCTGGATTATTGATATTTGTTTTGATCCAACATATATCTTCACAACGACGAAAACCCCATTTACGTAAGCACTAGAAAAAAAATAAAGAATCGACTAGTCCTTTCAAAGGAAAATGAAAGTTGGAGAGATAGTCTATTGATAAAAGAAGTTGTATAGTATACATATGATGGATACATTTAGTGACGTTGGCATATATTATCGAACTAAAATAAACTGAATAGTCACTTGCAGTGACTTAGATAATCATTAATGCTTCTTTCAAACCAGAAGATTTATTTACTTATTTGTGAATGTGTTGTAACTTGAGACAATGCACATATCTATGCGAGCTTCTACAATGAGGATGGCTGGCTGACCTAATATATAAAAATACTAGTATAGCTGAGCACCAGAATAGATATGCCATACGAATAGAATAGTAAAGTCGCTGCGAAGACAGTTGTTAAGCGTGTTTAGGCGACAGAATTCACTGTTTCAACGTGATGCGAATGAGTTATCATCATATACACTGCTCAACCGCAACATTACTAACGTAGTGTTTCAAGAACTAGTCAATTTTATTATTTACAGTTGATAAAGAAAGTTTGAAACACTTACTTTTCGAGCAGCATCCAAACCTTCACCTGACCCACACCATATCCAAACAAATGCACGTGGAGCAGCGATTTGTTCAATTTCTAAACGTTCAATCTATACCAATAATGGTAAACAGGGAAATATGTACATTGTTGAAAATTTCTTATAACAATGACAAAAGAGACGAAATGTGAATGTTGAAATGTCAGTTATATTGAGTGGTGAGTTAAAATCGCTGTTCATTGAGTCCAAGCAATCACCCTTCAAACTTAACAATATACTTCACAATGGATCCGAGTTTAAATGTGAATTACAAATTATTAGCTCAGGTTCAGTCACAATTGAAAAAGAATAGGTTATAGATATAAATTTCAGTTTTTGCGACGGTGTGGTGAACATAAGCTACGATACAACGAAGCCAATAGAGACTCTGACGACTCAAATTCAGATCAAGCATCACGTTGGATTCTCCGAAGCATTTTAAACTTTGGAATAGTGATGAATATGAATTGCTTTTACACAAAGCCTATGTTTTTATTTCGGGACTCCACAAGTCAAAAGACTACTAAGCTGAAGTTCTGAGAAAGATAGTTAATGAAGTTTATGTCTGTCCATACTTAATGATTCCAAGTACAAATATTTCTAAATGAATAGTAGTATAGAAAGAAAATCCAATTCTCCAATTTACTTTATCAATAATTAGTGTTCAAACTTTAAAGTCTTTGATGACAACCAATTCTTCGAGTGATTTGAGCACGTTTGAGTAATATTGTAAAATAACCGATATGCTGGAAAATCGATAGATTCTACCACTGGTTTGATCAGTATACTGAACTTTTCAAAGACAATAGAAGCTAAAACCATAATAATTTTTCGGCAACACATAAAACCAGACTGGATTGATTAATTTGACTTTAATTTATCCATAAATTAATCTACTGGCAGTTTCGTTTTGTCTATTACTGACGTTCATTTACCACTTTTTATCACATATTGTGGACCCCTGTGCAAGTGTCCCATTACCCTTATTTTATAACCAAATATGATTATAATCACAGTATCATCTACTGTAATTCAGTTACTAAGTACAGATTCACATACTTGGTTTTGAGCCACACTCTATATGTGACGGTTTGTGATACTAATCGATTGCTTAAATTGACTTATTTGTTGCAAAGTTCGTACCAGACCTTACTCATTCCAACGATGCTTTTCGCTTGATAAATCACACATATTATAATAAAAATAACAGCATATTGAAAACACATCACTACGCATCATTATTAAGGTTTGGTAGTTGAATTTAAACTGTTCTATTCTCAGTATTCTGTAAGAAATAACTGTCGAATGGTTTAACAATTCAACTAACAGACTGTGTGTAGGTATAGAATAAAAACATGAAGTATTAAGATCAAATAGAATATCGATAAGATTGGCAACAGTAAGAGAAGTAATAAACTGAATAAACTAACCTCATCCCAACTCCAATATTGATCAAATACAGCACCATTCATTCGATGATACTCTTCTAAAGGAGGTTCAATCAGAATAACATCGAATTTTGAGTCTAACTCATTTAAATCAAATGTTCGTAAGTCAGCGCACAAATACATAGGAGGTGTAGCCTTTGACTGAATGTACTGATCTTTTAATCGAATTAACTCACGTAATTTAGGATATTCTTCAAATCGATTTCTCAGACCTGAAATATATACATATAAAGAAATAAGTACTTAAAACTTATACTGTGAATATTTCGACTGTGTTGTTATGATCTGAGAATTTAGATGATAAACATTGAATAACCTACATAAACAATAAGATCATGACTATTATGTCTTAAACAAATTAATCATCTTTATGTTGAAATTGGCTGACAAACAAGTCATGCAATAAGAAATAATAGAACAATTAGAAGAATTTAAAACGTACCAGTATCACGTATAAAATTTTGTGGTCGTTCACCAGTATCCACAAAATGTTGACAGTAATCATTATGTGGATTAGCACTTTGAGTTCCCTACATAATAGAAACAAATTACACAAAATAATATGTTTATCATATTGAAGTGAAAGTATAAATTTCAATCCACAGATTAACAATCTAATGAGTTCGCCTCCTTTAGTCTTGCTGCCAACACTAGGTGAGGTCAGACGCAGGATATTAGGGAATGATGGTAAATCAGTCGATGAGGTTGTGAATCTCGATCAACTGAGATGGTTGGGCCACGTGTTGCGTATGCTTGAACACCGATTACCACGACGCGCAACATTGACTAGTGTTGGATACGACTGGAAGCAAGTTAGGGGCGGCCAAACCAAAAAATGGCATCAGTGCTTGAAGTCACTAACTTCTAGTCTGAGCCATGTTGATAGATATAGACCACTTGGTTGGGGTCTGCGTGGATATCGTAACCAATAGTTGGAGACTCTTGGTGACATGGCTCAGAATCGATCACAACAGCGTAGGTGTGTGGTGTATACTACTTATATTGACATAAGTAGTATATGATGTTAGTCGTGAACAGAAGGTCTGGCAGCAAAGAGACAAGACGATCGAACAGTAAAGAATGGAAATAGAATGCAATTTGTATGAAAATGCAAGAATAATGAAGTCTGAGTCATTTTGAGACAACTGGTGGACATTTTGCAAATTAAGCATTTACTATTTGATTGTTAGATTTTATTAACAAGTCCTGTAATTTTGTGTTCAATACATTCAATTGTCCCCACCCGTGTTTTGTTCACTACAGGTGTATACACTCTTTGTCTTCCCTTAAACTATGAGATTAAAATCTTTTCATATCTTTCTTTCTAATAACTAATTCTTTCTTTCTGTACTATACCCCTATACACAATCTTTCTTTTATATATTACCACCATTGAATTAACTACTTCTATGAATCCGCTGTTTATCCTGCTGTGCTAATGAGGTATGGCAACTTGGACCGATGTATATATATGCCTGGTCCTACGTTGTAGCTGACTGACTGCCAACACTACGTACAACATAGAATAAGTTTGGAAGACAAAATTAACTAAGAAATTTCCATATAAAAAATGACAACGAAATAAAATAAGATTTCCAAAATTTAAAACGAAACAAATAAGATAGATTAGTATTGCTGGTATTGATTTTCATAACATCACCAATAAAATGGATGACAAAAAAGATCTCATAACGCAATTTCAGTAAATATGCACATGCTACCGTTAAACAATAGAAAAAATGTAGCATTGATTGTTTGGATGTAATTTCAAATAATGAACTGTGAAATTCTGTATCATACAGGTTAGCCAACAGACATCTGTTGATATCAAAGAATCATTTAATTGTTTCCTGACGTTCAATTTTCGTGGCATTGAACAAAATGCCATTTTGACGCATTTATTTCAAATAAAAGACAGAAACAAGGGAAAGACGTTGGAAAAGTGGTTTTTACTACGATATGGAATTGGAACCCTAGATCTTTAAGATGAAGTTAACCGAGATAATAGATAGGAACTCCTCTGCAGCATCGTAGTTTGATGGTCACGTGTTTATGGACATGATGCTGGGTTGGATCTCAAAAAAGACATGGTGATAAAAAAACTCTAAAGTACGACAAAACAAATGCCCAGCGTTCCTTGATTTCCAGAACATCTTAGACAGATGTCAATCCGTAGTCAGAATTACTATAAAAGCTTGAAACATGACTTTAGGATGAATAAATTCCAATTTTTGTGTGTTTAGAGAATTCATTATTGGTACAACAGCTTGAAATAATATTAAAACCCAAAATTTATGGAAAGGTGATAAATGAATACAAGTGTGTCGATGCGATCGATATTGAGCCATGGTTATTCCCAAATATCTCTAACCATTAATAACAATTATCATGCGAACATAACCAGGTAGTCTACGCTTATCAACACGAGTCAGATCAACAGTCAGAGACTTTAAGAACTGACAAAAGAAGACGAGTGGGAATTTATGTTGGGTTTGATTCTACTAACCATCGTAATTAAGTTATGAATGATAAAAAAGTACCCATGATCATGTAACGAGTCCAATTATAACATGATATAGAAAATCTAAAAACATACGGGAGTCAATTTAACATACATTCATTTAAAATGTATAGTCTAATGGCAACATTGAGAATTTAACAAACTAAACAGAGTTTATCCACTTTTATTATCGGAATATTTTTGTATTAGCGGCCACAACTCCAATACCTATCATATTAAACTTCGATCAACTTTTATTACGGGGCAATTTATACTTTGTCATGGCCAATAATATTCAAATCAGTTTAACTAACGGCCCACAGAAAGTTACACTTCATAGTAGGAGTGAAGAAACCTATCATCAAGCTATACACAAAGAAGCAAAGAGGGTTAATTCCAGTTAGTGAGATTTTTTAAAAATTGCACAATTCATGAGTTTATTTACTATAGTTACTTTCTAAATGACTATTCATGACAAAACCTATCCCCACCCTTGTCATAAACACCCCATATATATTAAATCCCATCTAATATTTCTCATAGCTTAGTAAACATTTAAAAAAGGCTCATCTCAATAATTAACTAAAAACATCATACTTTAAGAAAAGCAGCTGAACCAGTAAATGTTCTGACGACCAAATCACAATTAGAATCTCCTGTTTTACCAACAACATTGTCGTCATTTGAAGCTTTATCTCCTATATTACTGCTTGTATTTGTTGATATACAAGATGCCAGTGTTTGTCTTAATTTGTCGCCAACAACTTCAAGGCTGAATTTATCCCACTGTTGTATGATTTGTTTATTATCTTGATTTAATGTGCCGGATTCTCCTAGAAAAGACTGTATTGCACGACGAAGCTTAAGACTAAGCGCTGGGCATTTTAAACGAGAAATAATTGGTCTGTTGTAAAAAAAGATTTTAACAAGAGATAATATATACTGACTGTAGGATATTGAATTTGTCTCTAAGAAACAACTTAAAAAGCCTGTCAGAGGTCATTTTAAATGGATACGCATAAGTATAAAACGAAATAAGCATCACAACTAAAACCAGCGGAAATAAAATCGAGTCTTTGGCCGGACATTTGTTAAATAACCGAAAAACCGAAACTCATTTATGGCACTCCATTACTGATGTTTGCGTGTACAAGACAGGTTCGCAGCCTAAATACGATGTTTTGGATCAAATCATTTACTTTGATACTGGATAGAGGGAGTCGATAACATGGCTTTACAGTCCCAATTTAGCATTTGGAGTTAAGAAAAGTGACGGTTTAGTGGTTAAGGCGTTCGACTTTCAGCTATGACTTCAGTTTGGGCGACCGTTTCTTTAGTGTGACTCATACACAAGTAACGGATGAGTGGTTTAAACTAATTCCCCTGAATGCCCTGGTACGGCCGAGAGTGGGGAGAGTCCGCTCTTCCTCTCGAAATACTCTCACACGGCCACGCGTATACAGCCTCTGCCAGGGAAGTCCTACTCATTGCCTTCTCGTGGCGGGGATGTTGTTTACGAAAATGAGAGGACGAAAAGCGAATGTCCGGCGCTTTAACCGGATTCCAAATCAATGGTGCACATGGGCTCCAGTATCCTGCGGGAACGAATGGCGTATGAACCAATCGTTGGTCACCGGCTACCATGGGACTGCATCTCCTTACGATGCTCCACTGCCTTGTGGGTTAGACCTTTAGGTCAAAGGCTCGGGTAGTGGCCCCCTAAGATAACCACCTGCTTCGGTTTGGGCACCCGGGCAGTATCACAGCCCACACACAAATGATGAACGCTTTATGTCTATGGAAATTACTTTTGTCGCTTTGAAAAACAAACAATTGATTCAGATTATTATCATTACAATTATTGTCATTATTAATACTAATATTATTATTACTACTATTATTGTCATTATTATTATTATCATTATTATTATTATTTTCCACATTATTCACCCTCTTTTATACTTATACAGCGGCTCGTCTTTGGTGGAATTCCGACTGTATCTAAACGTTCTCGAGTCACTGTCCGGTTGAAAATTGTATGTTACCACCGAATACGAGGACTGAAGCAGATTTTCTGAAACCACGTGCACCATTCAAACTGGCTGCCTTCAACGTTCGCACATTTATGCAGGTCGGACAACAGATAGGGCTGGCTATGTCTTTGGAAAGTCTTAATATCGACGTGTGTTGTCTATCCGAGACCCGTATTCAAGACTCTGGCGAAGTACTACAAATTCGATCTCCATCTGTCGCTTCGAAAAGCTTGTTTTACGTGCGCTTATCCGGGGACCCTGTGGCATCTTCGTCTGGTCTTGCTGGCGTTGGTGTCGCACTAAGCGCTAGAGCTGAGGCAGCACTAGTCGATTGGATCCCCATTAACAGTCGGTTATGTGCTGTTAGATTAGAAAGTTCCATCAAAGTGAAAAGAAATCGGCGTGAGAAACGATGTCTTTTCGTCATCTCCGCCTATGCCCCGACAGATTGCAGCCCGGATGCAATCAAGGATGAGTTTTACCACCAGTTATCAGTTCTTCTCCAGAAAGTGCGTTCGACAGATATTGTAGTACTAGCCGGAGACTTGAATGCTCAGGTCGGGCGTCTAGGCACAGAAGAGAGTCGTTTAGGTGGCCGATGGGGACTCGTTGGTCGCAGGTCAGATAACGGGGACCGTCTACTGCAACTTTGCACAGACCACAACCTGTTTCTGGCTAGCACTAACTTTCGGCACAGTCATCGCCGATGTGCCACCTGGCGTCCTCCCTCTGCATCTCAAGCCTGGACTCAGATTGATCACATCGCGATCAGCTACCGCTGGCGTGGTTGTGTACAAGACTGCCGCTCCTTTTGGAGTACCTATCTGGACTCTGACCATGCCTTGGTCTGCGCCAATCTTGCCTTACTTTTCAGTGGACAACGAAGTGAACGCCATCAACGGATTGATGTTAGCAAGCTGGTTGCAACTTCTGTTGCAAGTAAGTATCGAACCGAGCTAGCCTCTAGGCTAGCTACCATTCCACCGAAAAGTATAGATGAGCATTGGTTGCAATTGCATGACGCCATGAAAATGGCGGGAACAGTCAGTTGTGGGTTTGCGAAACGTCCCGCTTTTAAGCACTGGGTTTCTTCTGGTTCCTTACAACTCATTGAAGCCCGTCGGTCTACTCCGGGTGACCGTGAGTTTGACCATAAACGAAGGATGTTACGTAAGGAAATCGGGCAAAGCTTGCGTAAGGACCGAGAAGCCTGGTGGTCGATGCGTGCTAATGAGCTGGAAGCAGCAGCTGCATCTGGTAACTACCGGAAGCTCTTCCAACTCATCCGAGCCACTGGCAGCAAGAAGTCTGGTGTGAGTGAAACAATCTGCGAGGATGATGGGATGCCAGTCACTAACATCCATCGACGTCTTGGACGATGGGCAGAATTTTTCGAAGGGCAGTTCAACTGGCCTGCTGCTCCGGCAACATCGGTCAGACTGTCCTGCCCTCCATGGCCGGTGACGACTGATCCACCAAATGAGGAGGAAGTCCGCAAGGAACTCCAACTCTTGAAGCGTTACAAATCACCTGGCCCAGATGACTTACCTCCGGCTCTTTTTAAAGATGGTGGTGACTTTTTGACTAAGGAATTGACGACGTTGTTTACAAAGGTTTGGGAACTAGAGAGTGTACCAACGTCATGGAATGAGTCGATAGTTGTCCCTATCTTTAAAAAGGGTTCACGTCGTTCTTGTAACAACTATCTGGGGGATAAGTTTACTTCCGATTGCGTCCAAGCTATTGGCTTCCGTCATTCTTCGTAGGTTGTTCAAAACCCGAGAAAGATTGACTCGCGAGGAGCAGGCTGGGTTTCGTTCTGGTCGAGGATGTATTGATCATATCTTCACCCTCCGCCAAATGTTAGAACACCGCCATACTTTTCAAAGGCCAACAATCGTAGTGTTTCTTGACATCAGGGCTGCCTTCGATTCGTTGGATAGGACTGTTCTCTGGGATTGTCTATTGAAGAAGGGTGTGCCTGAGAAGTTTATCAACATCCTAAAAGCCCTGTATAAAAACACCTCAGGCAGAGTGAGGGCATACAACCACCTCTCTCCATTGTTCCATTCGAGCAGTGGGGTTAGACAGGGTTGCCCAATTTCACCATTCCTCTTCAACTTTGCCATTGAGGACATTCTGGAAACAGCTCTGATGAATGTAAGTAACGGGGGTGTGAATCTGTTGCCTGGGGAGAGACTTCTAAACCTTGAGTATGTGGATGATATTGTCTTACTGTGCGATAATGCCCAAGGCATGCAATCCGCACTTAATTAGTTGGTGATCAATGTCCGTAGGTACGGTATGTGCTTTGCACCTTCGAAGTGCAAAGTACTTCTACAAGACTGGCAGGATTCTAATCCTGTACTCACCCTGGACGGTGAGCAGATAGACGTAGTTGAGAAGTTCGTGTATCTGGGTAGCTGCATAAGTGCTGCTGGGGGTGTGAGTGATGAGATCAATGCACGAATAGTGAAAGCCAGAGCGGCTTATGCCAATCTGGGCCATCTTTGGCGCCTTCGTGATGTTAGTCTGGCTGTAAAAGGCCGGATCTACAACGCGTCGGTGAGAGCAGTTTTGCTCTATGCTTGTGAAACCTGGCCTCTCCGAGTTGAGGACGTTAGACGACTCTCTGTGTTCGATCATCGCTGTCTCCGAAGTATTGCTGACATTCAGTGGCAACACCATGTCAGTAATGCAGAGGTTCGGCATCGTGTGTTCGGGCACAGAGATGATAACTCAATTGATGTCACCATCTTGAAACACCGACTTCGGTGGCTTGGACATGTTCTCCGAATGTCGCCCCAGAGAATTCCACGTCGTGCATTATTTGCCGACTCTGGGACTGGTTGGAAGAAGCGGAGAGGTGGTCAGTGCATGACATGGTGTCGTGGCATGAAAGAAAGCTGCAAAGGACTGGCTTCTGTTGGTCCTTCACGACTCCCTGGCTGGGGTCCGAGAGATGGTGCTACACAGTGGCTAGAGACGTTATCAGATATGGCTCAGAATAGAAGCCAGTGGCGATCCTGCTGTAACCTTCTTTTACTTTCTTCATAAAAAGTGGTTGTGTCTCCCTTACCTGAAAGATTTCTTCTGATTGTACCTCTTCGTCATTACTCTCTTTTTCTTTTGCGTTTCTTAGTTTTTTTTTTTTTTTTCTTTCTACTTCTCTTCGAATTCCCATTGTTTTGTGTGGCGCATATATATTGGCGCTCTCTTGTACCAATATTTATGTGTTCAAATAAATAAATAAATAAATAAAACTAATTATAAGTTGACGAAATTAGTCAGCGATTCTGCCAACCACAAACTATGAAATAGCTGAACTAATTGAGAACTACTGAGATTGTTGGATAATGTGAATATTCATAAAAATCCAAAGCAACCCCAGCCTTCTCAAATAAAATCATGTGTAAATAGCAGTTGACAAGTATATCCCAGATGAATAAAAATTACCCAAACATTTGGATACAAAAGTTCCAAAACACAAAGTATCATGTTATACTTAATCGTCGGGGTATTTTTATGGATCTTACTTTTAAGAAGACTCGTCCCGTCCTATGACTTACGACTGGATAAAAGGTGGGATCTTGTACAATGTTACGGACGATACAAACCACAATAGACTTCGACAGGAAGTTGACCAGCCCTTTATTACGCATCCCTAATCATTGTTCACCTTAACGCGCAACGCTGACTGATATCGGAACGAACTGGAAAAAACGGGACGAGGCGAAAAAGGTAGGACCGACACATATATTTCTTCACTGAGACGTGAAGACCTTGGTTAAAACCCACAGAAATGCGTTTGGTCTTACCCTTATTAGCCATCACACAACATTTTGAACGCGTCATTAAACTATTTGTATGGTGCATTTAAATGAAATAAACCCACAGAAACAACTGGGGTTATAGATGCACAGTGATTGTTGTGTACGAAGAATCCTATCTCTCACCATGTAGCGCGATACATATGATAAGAATAGGTTGCATGTGGTTGTGAGAAAGTTCCTACTAGAATAACTTAAGTCCTCTGTAAACATACAAATCAAGTATGGAATGCAAGGCTGACAAAAGTACAACTTACAGAATCGCCCGCTTCCTACAAACGTCTTCGTCAAACTGTAGGTAGGAAGGTTTGCGGTAGCCAAGTAAATCTGACAGAGTAAGACTGAGTTGATTGCTGTTCTCTAACCTCAATGAGAATGAACTGTTCCTCAGAAGATGTCGTAAAATGACCCGACGTCGCCTCAATTGACGGTCTCTTAGCTGCTTATATCTCGCCCGGGAAACTTCAACACAGTCAAACGGGTTGCCGTAATCTATTTCGGTGGCCATACTTTACTTGACACTTTAGACACCTAAGGACAAAGTTTATGGAGGAACACGTTTAGAAATATATAGATCCCTTTCAGCACATATATGCTGAAGGATATAGTAGCAAGAACTGAAACGAACAAGGAGAATGTTTATTTTTTTGATAACAAATATTTCTGTCTACAGAGTTTCGGTAGGGGCATTGAAGACTTCACGTATGATCAGAAAACCAGAAACCGCAGAAGCGAACATTGTGATGCTTTTCACGAGCGACCTACCGATCTAGATTTAGATATGCAGCTACTTACCACTTGTATGGGTCATTGTAAATGCTGCGGAAAAAACCAGACTTTGACTTTGCAGCAGTCTCTGACCTAATAGAAAACGGAGGCCCAAACATCGCTATGTAACGCTAACTGTTGAATGTAGTTCCTAATCCTCAATCCATATCGAACAACAAATAAGTGAAATATTGTCTGGTAGGATGTTAACCTAAGATATTTAAAGGCGAAACTTGATTAACCTGATTTACTAATGTATGAATGCCCTTTAACTGCATGTTGCGATGTAAATGCTGTCATGCATCACATGTTTCTATTTGCGTAGATGCTAGGTGAAGATGGTTTGTAAGCACTTTTTCTGTATTTAAAAACAACTCAAGCCGTTTTAAGGGTAGAAAACACTTGCTAACTTATTAATACTTGTATGTTAGATCACAGGCCAATGGACACAGGTGTCCCGAAGACATGAATATTCTCTTTAGTCCTAAAGATACCACAAATAATCAGAGTGTGACGAGGCCCTTACCCGTAACGCCTATGTAGTCGAGGTGTACCAACCTGGTAAAATCAGAAGTCGGGAATGAATGGATTCGAAGTTATATCTAGAAAGTTGTCCATTTGTTGAGGAGCGTTTGATTTATGCTTGCTAGTAGTTGCAGGAGATGAGTTACACAGTGTACCCACTAGTTATCATGGGTGTATCTAGTAAAACTAATGGGGTTAGCATCAATCTCGAAGACTTACAGAACTACTTATTTTGGAGATTTATTTATCGCTACAGTCATGACGCTTAACGAAGTTACTGATCTTATATTATTATCATGTGCTCACAGGTGACTAGCTTCGAGAAGTAATTTTCGGAGTTCTAGTGAGGAGCTGTGACCAGTGGAGTTAAATCCATGTCGGGCATACAGCAGTTATTCATCAAAGACGATGGGTGATGGCCCAAAAATATGGTGGATCGGTTGAAGATAGACATTAACGCTGTCGGATGCCGGCTCAGTGGTCTAGAGGTTAGGCGTTTGTGCACGAGACCGAAGGTCTTTAGATTGAATTCCCAGTGTGATGTCGTGGATGCACACTGCTGGGGAGTCCCATAGCGGAACGAGACGGCAGTCCACTGATTCTAGAATTTCAGTGTTCGTCTAACACTGATAGGCACATGATTCGGCGGCCTGCTTGAGCATCTGGGCTACCTGTTCCTGTCATCTAGATATTTCAACAAGTTATCTATTTTTGTTTGTTTTAATATATCATTATGTTTATTAATCGCACAACCTATTCTGCTGCGTTTCTGAAAAGTGTACAACCTTTCGTTGTCAAAGTTACAAACAACTCAATAAGAGACAATGTGGTTGCTGGCAATATACAACCAAAAGAATGCATATTATTCAGATGTTCATTTAGTGAACTGCTAACATCTAACTGGCGATCACTAAATATTTATCGCCAGGACCGACGAAGAAGAAAGAAACGGAAACTTATTGAAATACTTTACGCTGAGAATTCTATATTGTACCAAAAATATAATATTGAATAAAGCTGATAATAATAATAATAATAATAATAATCTCAATTAAATCCCATAGTATCGTTCATTATTATGAAACTAGATGTGAGTCGTTAAGAATATAACAATGCCCAATCTTCGAGTGTGTTGTTGCTCTCAAGTTATGTAAGCGAAGATTTCTATACCATTTTTACATTTATTAGGAGGATTGTAGACCGACAATCATATAACTAACAAAACGTGGTAAAAATATCCTCAATAACCCGTTCATTTCTTATCCTACAGTCCTGAATAGGTTTCTTACACATTTAGGTTAATTAATTCCACACATGGAAGCTAAAGCTAGATTGATACAGTGCACAAGAATAAAAATGTGTAAACTGAAAGGTATCTAGAAAGAGACTATGTGTAATGACTCCATATGAGACTATATCTGTGCTCCTGTAGTCAGTTTTGTTTCATCGACGATGAATACTGTTTTAGACTGAATTTTCTTGATTTATTATATGTTGTATTGGTCTATTTCGAAAATTAAAGGTTAAACTGCTTTGATTGTAGAGACGGTAAATGAGACTTGGTGTGAAAACAATTTTTGTTATTATTCGTCCTCAACCTTAACTTGTACAACTAATTTTGTTAACTACAACCATCCTTTCACCACAATGTAAAATGGCCTGTATACTGTGATATCACATTGTTTACTACTCACACGGTACATATCCTTTGAGCCGCATATTTTGTTCTCTATCCGGCAGGTATCCCATTTTCAGGGTTTCCAAAATACTGTCTCGTTTTTTCCACTCAACCTACCTAGCACCATATCATGATCTCACCATCTCGTGATCTGGAACGGATACGTGACCGAGCGCTTCCAGCTGAGTGAGTCCAGTAAAATTAATGCGGTCAGCTTCGATACCGAAGACATACAGAGCTATTGATTTGGGGGTTTTATTTACCGCTACAGATCACCCCTCCTAGTAGGGCAATGATGACTCTATGAAGTGGCCTGTCAGAAGTTTAAACCAACTAGTTTGTCGTCGGTAAACACAATTCTGATAGCTTGCTATGTTCATCAGCGTCCGGTCGTTTTTCCAAACTATAAGGGTCCATGTGGTACAATATAGTAATGAAAAACAGGTACGATGAAAATTTCGATTCACCGTTGGTTTCTTCATCTTCTACAGCCGTCCTAGAAAAGAAAAAAGGATATGTAAGTACATGTCGAACTACACTCGTGCGTGCGTGAAGACACGAAACGGACGACGAAAGCAGAATAAACTTATACACATGAGTTTCTTAAACATGCAATAGCGTGAAGACGATTTTTAAAACAAAAAAACACGTAAGCACGCATATTAGCAGCAAAAGCTTTTGTTTCTTGTTTTTCTGAAATAAAAAAATATACACGCGTATATTAAAAGTTGTTTTTGCTAATTCACACAATAGTTGAAAAAAATTATAGACGAAACAGTGTTATCAAGTGTCATGCGTGCAGTAATCGTTTAGGTGTTCTGGAGACCTTATCCTTCCTCCAGAAAGCGTTGTTCTGGGTTGGTTATCAGGTACTAATTATTATTTGGTGAGGTACCGTAATTTTGAGACTCGTGTCTTTCTACTGTATCGAAGGAAAGTGGGTATGAATGGCACTTCCTTCTAAATACACACTTTTGAAGCAATCATTGCTGATTCTGTCGTTAGTTCCATTCTTATCAATGATATAGAACTTGTATTTACGCTGAGGGGCTTTGAAGGGTCCTTTGAAAGGTCGTCGAAGTGAGCCGCGGTGTACAAAGGCGTGTGCACTTTATCGTAGGGTAGGTTGAACGAAATCACCAATTTATTTCAGTCAAGTGGAAACAGGTTTAACTGAAAGCACTGCTTTTACAAGCCTGCTCGTTTAAGAGTTCAGATCCACATTCCTTGAAGAAACTGAAGAACACACGAATTCTCCTGGGAGTCGGAGTGTCGTTTCATAAACGTGTCAATCTGCAGTGCATCCAATGTCAGCATTGCGAATACCAAGTAAGACGAGTGAAAGAGCGTCAGTCCATTGTAAAACGTTTGCAGCTGGAAGTAAATCTTTAAGCTGTCAATGTGTAAGGGCTTAGGTCGGTTGGTTAGGAGTTCACCTCAAACAACTAAGCATATGTCAAAACAGTAACGTTCAAGTATTCTTTCACTTCCTTATTTTGTATAGGCATTATACCTCCTATTATCTTATATTGATTGCTGAGAGGCTTTGTTTCTCTGAACAAACAATCCCACGCTCTACTGTGACTGCGCGGTGATCTAAATAAAGACCTATTCACTACTTTTCCGGTTTCTTCTATCAATAGCACGAGGGTTACCTAGAGGCACGAAAAGTGAAAGCGTTCTGCCAACTCGTTTACTTGTGGGTGGTAGGTGATCGTTTGGAGTCGTGCGACTCCTGACAGTGTAGTTAGATGAAGGAAAAGTTCTTCCAAATTCAGATACACGTGGTCAGAAGTTTTGTATGAGCCTAAAAAGCCTTTGTTGTGTCTAATTACGTCAGATTTTTAGCAGATTACACAGGAGCGTGTACATCCCCTCACATCTTTTTTCATAACAGGCCAACAGAATCGTTCTGCAATGAGCTTGATGGTTGTATAAACACTTGGATGAGAAGGCTGGTGCAACGCGATGAAGACGTTGTGCAGATAATGTTTCGGCACGATTGGAGGATTCTTACTTGTGGATGTGTCACATAATAAGGTTACCTTACTTGTTGTTAAAGACAATTCTTGCTGAAGACCAGTGTCTTCTTTTTGGAGTTGAGCGAGTTTGAGAAGGTCGATTCATTGGAAAATGTTTGAGAAGGTAACTGCATTGTTTGCATCGGAAATGAGTTGTTTATCTGAAGTAGACTGCAAAGTATAGTCTGGTTGTCAAAGACTCATGCAGTGAGTATTTGTCTGAAGATGAGCTTAAACAGAAGGCAAGAGCTTAGTTTTTGGTGAGAAGAGTGAATTCTCAGACTCCAACAGTATTGAAATTGCTGAACAGCTTAATAAACAGCTAGTAGGTATTTAGATGGTAGTTGGAGGTAGTCAACAGGAAACCTTGGACCCGGGTTTCGTGCTACTTGGCACTCGTCAGCAAGGTGTACCTGTAATCTTGAGAGAACTGGTGCTCCCTGGGGGATTCGATCTCGTGTCACCCAGCTTCACAGTCAGAGACGTTACCAGTTCCACATTGCAACATGATCGATAGCATTCGATCTGCACTAATAAGGA